ATATATATATATATATTCATAGACTTGTGGACATGTTTTTGACAAAGTTGATTTGCTTTCACATAACTTTTGAATTATCCAGCTGTTTCCCATATCGTGACACGATACCTGCTTGTATCTCAGTGTTTTATATTACGTTGTATCTGTAATTTTGTCCATTTTTCTTTCATATTGGGCAAGTACTACTTAGAGTTAGAGCAAGATTTGGTTATGGAAGTTGGTAATCCTAGCAACTCAGGAAGCAGAAGTGAAAGGAAAACAAAGTTGAATCTGTCCTGTTCAACTTACTGAGATGCTGTCTCAAAGTAGAGGTTGAAGTTCTGTCTCGTAGCTCAGTGATTTGGGACTTCCAGCTTTACTCCCCCATATCATAGTTATTTTGACATAACTCCCTGCACATCAGTGTCCACTTCTCACTTACTGTGTGAAGATCTAAGCCAAATGCAGTGATCTGACAGGACAGTCACAGCTTTGATGCTGGCATTGGAGGACAATTTAGGCAGATTCCCAAGCAGTCTGAAACAGTTAATTTTAAGTCTGCATTTTAAGTTTAAAGCCAGAAGTAAGTTTAGGTTAAGAATATTAGCCTAGGATGGAGTAAAGTCACTTGCAAATTATGATTCTGATGCTCAGGAAATAACCTTTTGTGGCAATATTTGGCACAAGCTAGGGAACAGTCATGAAAGATGACTTGGGAGTAGACAACTATCTGTGCACTAGTTCACTCAATGTGTCAGAATACAAATATGAAATAGCCACTTGTGTAAGAGATAAACTAAAGACACAGCATGCTCTCTTGCCACAGTCACCCTTTGAACTGATGTCTGTCTCGTGTGTTCTTTTCCTTGGGGACTCTCACCTGCCGGAGTACTTCAGGTGCTAGCCATGACAATTTGCATAGTAAGCAGGATGGTGAGGTGAGTGTCCCCTTCACAGTGGCCGTGAAAAGAGTGCTAGCCAGGGAGGAGTACCAGAGCAGTTTCAACATCTATATCCACTTTTCCATGGTTTGGAAACCTCCAGAGGACTGGAACATGGTCTGCTGAGAGCCTTGGATGTGCTACACATGTAGATCTCTCCCATTGAACTGTAGCGGTTTATATAAAAAATTTGATGCTCGGGAGTAAACCTGGAAGTTCCAAATCACTCAGCTACATCTGCAGAACTTAGATCTATATTTTGAAACAAGATCTTATTAAGTTGAACATGCTTACTTGAATTTTGTTTTCCTTGCATTTCTGCCTCTTGAGTTGCTGGGATTACTCACTTGTATCATCAAGCCTAGAAGAGTTTTTTGAGGGGAAATAATATGTGCTTGGGATGAAATGTTTTGTAGTGTCAATATTCCATCACAAGCAGAAATGGCGATACACACTACCTATCTTCCTGGTGCTGTAAAGAAGCAGAGATTTGCTTCAGGGAAGTTGGACACAAGTTGTCGGGCACAAAAATGACACTGCCCTGTGCAATAGAGTGTGTTCTATGGTTTTATCAGATATTTCAGATTTACTATAACACAACTGGTGAGTAATTTATTTTGTTAGGCAAAATGAAGTCTAAGGAAAAATATAATGTTCACTGTATTACAAGTACTTTAAAATGAATTGCTGATTATATTTACACAATACCGTAAGTTTATAACAATATAACATGAGAAATTGAGTACTTTTTGTATACAAGAACATTTTATAAAACATCCCACAAGGTATTTCATTATTAAAAAAATATTTAGAAACACAGGTCAAAGGAGACCAACTGGTCCTCATGCACGTAAGTTGCCTGTTTGAAGGCATTTGTCTCATACCTCAAACATCATGCAGTTCTTATGAGCAATTTAAAATGCCCCTGGATCACTTCTGCTCTGTATAACCAAATTGAAGTTTGTAGTCTGTTGTCCATCTCCAACACATTCCACTAGACTCCCACTTGTCAACAGTGACCTAAGATGTTGAGTCTCACTGCATTACATAAGCAGCAACTCGAGTACAACAGGTGATCAGTCCTCTCTAGAGACCCTTTCATGGATCGCTCTCCAAACAGATCATTTTCAGATCTAAATCGTGGTACCTGTACTTACAATAATTGAGATGTCTGTGAAATGGTATTTGGTTCTCTGTGTAAGCCCTTGTTGGCCCACAAGTTGTGGCTCTCAACTGGCTGTATGTGGAGGCCTCCAACAGGAAAGGGTTTGGGGTTTTCTGTTTTTGTTTTGCTTTGTTTTGTTTATTTTTTGAGACAGGATTTCCCCCCTGCCCCCAGAACCAGGGATTGAACTCAGGCCCTTGAGCTTGCCAGGGAAGCACTTATTCCACTGAGCCATCTCCCCAGCCCCTAAACAGGATATTATTATGTAGTCCAGCCTAAACTTGAATTCACTATGTAACCGAGGGTAGCCTCAAATTCATGATGATCTTCTTGCCTCAGACTCCCAAATGCTGGGATAATAAGCATGTGCTGCCATGCTTGGCTTGTATGAGCTGCTTTAACATCTGGATAACAAGCTAAGTACTGGATGATTCCTCTAAAAATAAGTATTGGAAAATAAAATTGTATTTAAAATACAGAAATGACTCTCAATGTCAGCAACTAATAATCCAACTATAAATGGAAACTATCTTTTGTCTTTTCAGTACCAATGATCGAACTTGGGACCCTGCACTGGCCAAGGAGGCACTTATACCACTGAATAATATCCCAGCCCTCAAACAATTGAAAAATATCTGACCAGGCTATAGAAAACCAAGTCATAGTAAATATTTCAAAGTATGAAATCAATATTGTTCCTGTGCACAAAACATGAACCCACAGAGAAAGAATCTGTAAACCATTCCATTAATGAAAGTGTTTTTTTTTTAAAAAAAAAAAAAAAAATCAAATGCCTAAGAATTAACTCAGCAACAGCAGTAAACATCCCCTATAAAAAACTGTGCAAGTCAAAATAAGAGAGTCAAGAAGACATTGAAAAGAGAAACACACTCCCAGTTCTTGGATAGGTACGACCAACCAATATTGTTAAAATGTCCATATTCCCACAAATGTGAGTGTGTTTCATGCAATTCTAATCATAGTAATTTCAGTGTTCTTTACAGAACTATAAAACACAATTTCACAGTTCATAAGAAATCAGAAATGACCAAGAGTAGGCAATGAACCTCCAAGCATAAGAGCAAAACAGGAGAAATCTTTCCAGATTAAAAGTTATACTTCTGAGCTACAGTGATAAATATCTATCATGGTACTGGCAAAAAACAACAACATTAAAAAATCCTATATGCATTAATCACAATAGAGTTCAGAGTGAACAAACAGCCCCAGACACCTTTGGCCACTTGGTTTTGGACAAACTGACAACATACAATGGAAAGAAACAGCACCTTCAAAAATAGTGCTTGAAAAACTGATGATCCCAGTTCAGAAGATAAAATCAAGATCCATATTTCACACAGTCTTTATGAAAACCAAGTTGAAATAGAGAAAAGAAGTATATATCAAACCATAAATACAGAATCTGCTGGAGATAAAACAGGTAAAGCTTTTGCAGACATAGGCAGGAGCAAGGACTTTCTAAATACAATTACACAAGAATAATACCATGAATCAACCAATGGGATTATGTCAAATTAAGATTTTTATAGCAAAGAAAAGCAGACTAAAGAGAAAACCTTCACAGTGGGAAATTCATCATCAACTATTCATTAGACAGAGGACTAATATCTAGAACATATTAAAAAGTCAAAAAAGACATCCCAAAATAAAAGATCAAATTTTAATAACAATGAGAATTCAAAATGAATAGATAGTTTTCAAAAAGAAGAAGAAGGAGAAGGAGAAGGAGCATTAAAGGCCACAAATACAGAGAAAAAAATTATGTTCCACATTTTTGTCCATTACAGAAATACAAATCAAAACCTACTGAAGTTTGAGCTTATTTCAGTAAGCATGGTATCATCAAGAACTCAAAATATGAAGTTGGGTAAAGGGAACCACCTGCAAAGTTGACTGGAATAAAAACTATACAGCTACTCTGGAGATGCCTCAAAAGAACTAAACCAGAGATCTCACTTGACTCAGGTATAACCCTTCCAGATATCTTCATAAAAGACATAAGGACATGAATCAAAAATACATGCTTGGGGGCCTGCCCCTTAGCTCAGTTCTTTTTAAGTGGCTACTTCAACAAAGCAGTCAGACATGAATAAGTCAAGCCATACAGTTATATGTAGAAGATGGGCAAGGCAATTATCCTGAGAATCTTCAGATTTTTAATCGAGCATTTAATTGAAAAGATTCTCACCCTGACTAACTATATATACTGATACCTGTGAACTAAGCTACTGCACTGCAGATGGTAATCTGTAATAGTAGTTTCATGCTTGGAGTGCCTCTCATTCTGGTCTTCTGAATATGGGCTGCTTGTCATGACATGGCAGTTGCCGCTATGATGTCTCTCGGGTAGATGGTTGTTCAAAAAGAAGGAGGTGGTGAATGAAAACAAGAGAGAGGAAAAGGAATATTGTGGGACTGTCCTGCTTCAAGGTTGTATATAGTGAGATTTTTGGACTTATGTGTAAACATAAGAAGTATATAATTCTTTATGCCTATTTTTAAAATATATTCTAATTTTTAAAT